AGCACCAACCGTGGGTTCAAAAAATTTAATCCAAAGTCGCGTTACTAAATTTGAGCCATTCACTAAGCAATGATCAATTTGCACCAGCTGACCAGTTGCTCCATTTACAAGTCCGTCACTTGTGTCTATATTGACGGTTACCATATATTTAGCGGTTGTTTTGAGATGAAGATTATATGGCAAACCCTGTGTTTCAGAGGTTTTCATATTTTGAGCATATCTTAACGTGTTTTCTCTGTTTCGTGCAGATATGTTCGCAGTTTTCACTGTGTCAACGGCAGTGGAAACCAGCTCTTCCGTCCCAATTTGCGCTAGTTTTATGGAATTGTAATTGTTAACTTCTTCGTTAGAAGAAAATAAATGAATGGCATCATCAGGAACTTCGCTGGGTGAAACAACTCTTTGTTTAAGGAGCTCTATATCTGCAATTGTCATGCAAGCCTCAGATAAATGATTCAGGGCTTGAGCAAATGCATGATCGCCTCTTTGGCGCATTATTTCTGTGAGCTCAAAATACTTAAAGTTGCTCCATAGGCTATTTCCTGCTAAAACGCTATAAGGATTAGTTGTCCTCTCCGAAAATATCCAACAGTCTCCAACTGGGGAAAGCTGCTTTAGATCTCCAAAAACTATAATTGATTTTCCACCAAAACATATGTCAGGGCTTCGGAAAATTTGACGAAGCCTTTGATCCAAAAATGAAAGCATTTTAGAACCAACCATTGAAATTTCATCAATTATAATTAATTGGAGATCAATCAACTTGCAATGAATTTTATTTAAACTGTCATTGCTTAAAGGTCTTAAGGGATCTGAAGCTTGATTAATTGAAAGAGAAAACACTGAATGAAGTGTCCTCCAATTCCAAAAGCAGCTTTTCCAGTTGGAGCACATAATAAAACCTTTGCCGAATCCGTAGCACCAGGAAGCTTATTTGCTCGCCAAGTCACATACTGATAGATGGTAGAAACCAGTCTGCTTTTTCCTACACCGGCCCCTCCACCAACATATTCGTAAAAAATATTTTTACAAACAACATTATGCATCACATGTGCATAATATTGTCTTTGCTTGTAGTTGAGGGACCGAGTTAGCGAGCAAAGGTCATCATTGGAAACTAACGGGGGGAGTCTAATTAATTGAAGTTCGCCGTCTTCTTTAGGGTTGTTTATCGTGATGTTATCCTGAAGAATATTTACGTTCTATATATGGTACTGCCAAATATTTGTACTGCTCTATATTTGGTACTGCCAAAGCTCTAAACTCTTCGTCTAAAAATTGGGAGGCAGGTTCTTCCGCAACAGGAGCATTACCTCCCCTATCCTCTTCCAAATCTTCCAAAAGTGAAGAGTTTATGTTAAAGCGAACCCACCGTAGACTCAGGGGATGGCTGCGTTTCTTAACCCAACTAGACCCATCCATCAGTGGATAGCTTTGCTCAGCAACTTCATCTTCGTCATCTACCTCCACATCATTTTCTTCATCATAGTCTTCCCTATGATTAGCGGCAGATCGTGCATTTTGCTTGACAAATCTGTACCAAGCCGCGAAATCTGCTAAACAAATTCCTTCCAACTGCGCATGCCTTTGCACATATCTCTATTTCTTCATTTGAGCGAGTCAATCTAACTCGTTTGTCTGGATGGCAAGTGTTTATAAAAATAGTACCTTCACTTGCCTCCGACATATGCAGACCCAAAATATTGTAAGCTGCTTCTTGGGACGATATTTCTGTAGCGTTAATAAACTTATTCCCGAGGTGCTGTAATTTCCTTTTAATAGAAATATTCCCATGGCTTATTTCTGCCATGGCTTCACGGAGCAACTGCGATACGCCTCTGTTCGATTTGTTTATGTAGTTAATAATATAACTACAACAGGCGTAAGCATCTAGGATAAATTGAATATCCATATTAGCTCTGTGTAAGCCTAGAATATCTCTATTATAAGCATTGAGCAATCGGTCGGAGAATTGTCTGCGAAGAAAAATTTGTGGCTTTTTTAAGCTGGAACGTAAGGCTAATTTGTAGGCTTCAAAATTAGTTTCAATGTGGGTCAGAAAATAATCAAAATTATTATATAAAGCTGCGTCTTCATTAGAAATTGTCCTTAAAGCTTCCTTAATTTTTTTGAACAAAGTCTTACGTTCTTCAACATTTACTTCGTTTTCTTTCATTGGATGCAAAAGAAGCGTTTCAGGCATAGGAGGATATGGCATATTGAATCGGCAGAACTCCTGTCCGCGTAACTCTCTCAGGCAGGAAGCACTATGCTTGTGGCGTTGATACTGAATTACTTCTTGTAGCCCAGGATCGTCTCCATTTGTAGTAATAAACCTATCGATAAAGTTTATTACTTGCTCGGTATTTTCGGCGTCTTCGAGCTTAGGAGCACCAGCAAGCCAGTACATGCCATGAGAGTGCGGAAATCCTCTGTGCTGGAATTCGATTCTCCAATAAAAATGGGAAAGATTGAACTCCCCAAAAATATCGGTTTCGAATAATTTCATTAATTGTCGCAACCTGTAATCGAAGTATCGAGAGCACGTCACTAGATCGGATCGGATTAACCGAGCATTTTCGGAGCTGGAAAGAGCTGCCGCTTCTTCCTCGCTTATGCCCTATTGTCCAATAGAAGGGAAAGGATAACTAAAAGTTCATTCCACTTAGTTTCAGCAGCGGAAAGAGTAATGAAAATGGTTGGCAACCCAAATTGTCGAATCATAGCAATAACTTTTTTTTCAGCCTCCCAATGAGCTGGTGCAGACCGTAAGCCTTTAAGGATGTGGTAGCCATCATCATGTTGAACAAGTCTGTCAACAAATGACTCATCTCGCAGATTACCAGCGGTAACTGCACCTGACTTTTTGCGTAAAGCAATTGAAATAGAATTTTGAATGCGCTGCATTTCGTAAAATTTATACATGTATAAAACTTTAGGAACTACAGTCGTAAAATCGGATTTGAGATCTGGCTTTTTTCGCATAGGTTGTATTTCCTTTAAATATTATATAGGAAAGTTCCTCTGCGTCTTCGTCAAGCGTTGAGCTTGTTGGGCGGCGGCCTTCACCCGGTGCTAATGCAATGCGCTGAATTGCAGTATCATTATTTTCCAATAATGTTTCATGGCCTCCGGGATTTAAATTTTCTTCGAGCTCTGCAGCATTTTGGGATAGGTGTTGCTGCTGAAGAAGTTGCTCTACTGCTTCGCGATCAGATTCATCCGCAATAAAAGGAATTTCATTAATTCCTTGAAGTCCTGCTAGAAATTGAAAGTTTAATGCAAAATTGTTAGGCACCTAATGTCTCACTACCTTGTGAAATATTATAACTGAAAACCATATAGTTTCGATAAAAATTAAGTTTCAATTTTATCGTATGTTACAGTGCTTTTCAATTTGCGCGCGAAATTATCGTATGTCCATACAAATTTTTTGCATGGAAATACTTCAAACGCACAAAAATAAAGAAATACAATAACAAATGTTTCTAATCGCTTAAACATCTTATGATTTTTCTTATTGTTTGTAAGAGATTAAATAAAAACAAGAAAGAAAAGCTAACTTCGGGCGGAGCCGAAGCTTATATACCCTTGCAGTTAAAACCGGATATATATCGCAAACATCGGATATAGTTGGCCGATCCTTATGAATACATCATAATAAAACCAATTAACTAAAATAAAAAATCTAAAAAAAGTCCCAACCTTCTATCTTCAAAAATAAGAAAGTTGATATTTCTACCAAGTACCATTTCCGATCGTTCAGTTATATGGCAGCTATATGATATAGTCGGTCGATCCTAATGAAATTTGGTAGGTTGGATCAACTGGCCAAAAATATAATCTGTACCAAGATTTCTATCTTCAAAAACACGAAAGTTGGGTCATTTCCGATCGTTCAGTTATATGGCAGCTATAAGATATAGGCGGCCGATCCTTATGAAATTTGGCATGTCGTAATAGTTTGCCAAAAATAGCTCTCGTGTCAAATTTGAACTCTGTAACTCTAAAAGCACCAAAGTTATACCATTTCCGATCAATCAGTTATATGGCAGCTATAGGATATAGTCGGCCGATCCGGGCCGTTCCGACTTATATACTGCGTGCAAAGGAAAAATGGGCGTGTGCATAGTTTCAAGACGATAGCTTCAAAACTGAGAGACTAGTTTGCGTAGAAACGGACAGACGGACAGACAGACGGACAGACGGACATGCTCATATCAACTCAGGAGGTGATCCTGATCAAGAATATATATACTTTATAGGGTCGGAGATGTCTCCTTCACTGCGTTGCACACTTTTGGACAAAATTATAATACCCTCTGCAAGGGTATAAAAAAAGCTTCTCCTGTAAAATTGGATTTTTTAACATACGATACTTTCGCGGAAATGCGTCGATATTGTGCTTTCTGTAGAGCTCGGTATTCACTAAGTACCGTACAGCTTCAAGGGCCCGAACGGGTCGAATAGTTTCAGTCATGAAATTGTGAGCGTACTCTAGTCTCCTTTTTAAATGGACTTGGATGACATGAGTAGAGTCGAAAGAGCGCGGAAGCGCAGTCACAATATCAGGAACTGAAATTGGAACGTTCACTACTGCCCCTCTGATTCCGCATTGCCTTTCATAGCCGAGGGAAATAATCCTCATAAAAGGGATTCTCGGCGAAATAAGGCGTTCTTCGAGGCAGGTGAGTCCATTTAAGCACTCAGGGATTTCTGGGAAGTCGAACCCATTAGAAAGGCAGAGTGATGGGAGTTTGCCCAAAGAGATGGCACGACGACAAGTGTGGCAAAAGTTATATTTACCGGACGGACTGGGAAACTTCCTTGACAGATAAAAGGCGTTGCCAACGTTTAGGAGAGGAAATTTAGAGGAGATAGCCAGGATGTATAGTCCACTTACCTGCGAACGGAACCATGTTCCTCCACAGCAAATACAAATTTCCGTTGGTCTTTCCTTTATGTTCCTGTAATAAAGATCCCTCGCTGATACTCGAATCCTATTTCGCTGTTGTTCTCGTTCCTGATCGAGTTCGTCCTCCGAAAGTTGAGCTCTTGCGTCCATATTGCGTTGCGACTGCCTTTGGGAGGCGTCCAGTCGATTTTGGGGGTCCATCCTGAAGTTTATTAATCGATCCTCCGCCATTTGCCGAATTTGTTCTTCCCGAATCCTCCGCTGTTGTCGTGTTTCCCGGCGTTGTGATGTGTTTATCCGTTGCTCCTGTGTTCTTGCGATGGGATTTCTCCTGGTTGCAATGCTGTCTGTCCTCAAAATCCCTTCGTCGCTGTCGATGATCTTCAGTATTCCTTTCCTGTTCTCTGGCTCGTTCCTCTGAGTCCTCGCGATGAGCAGCTCGCGCTGCGGCGTCCCGAATTCGCTCTTGAATTCGAAATTCGGGATTGGTCCTCCGAGAGGCATGGTCAGCAGTATTTTGCACCTGCTCTTGTCGCCGCTCCTCGAAGTCCTCTCGACGAATAGCACGCGCTGTGGCGTCCCGTACCCGTTCCGGATTTCGGTACTCAGGAATAGTCCTCCGCGTCGCATGATCAGCAGTATTTTGCACCTGCTCTCGTCGCCGCTCCTCAAGGTCCTCTCGGCGGGCCGAGTGTGCCTCCATGTCCCTAATCCGTTCGGGAATTCGGTGCTCTGGATTATCCCTCCGTGTAGAATGGTCAGCAGTGTTTTGTAACTGCTCTCGTCGCCGCTCCTCGGGGTCCCCTCGACGGGTCGCCCGTGCTTCCATGTCCCGAATCCTCTCTGAAGCACGATAGTCTGGGTTCTGTCGACGATCAAAATGCGATTCTGCGTCCCGAATCCGCTCTGCGAAACGTATTTCTGGATTCTCCCGACGGTTCGCACGTGCTTCCATGTCCCGAACCCTCTCTGGAACACGGAATTGAAGATCCAGTCGCCGATCAGCATGTGCTGCAGTATCCCGAAGGCGCTCTAGATTGCGAATCCTTTCGCTGCGTCTCCTCTGAGCCCGTGCTGCGGAATTCTGCGCACGACTTTCCTCCTGTAAGTCTGGGTTGCTTGCTCGTACATTGGCGATGTGTTGCGAGTTCCTGCTTCTTATTTCCACCGCATTTTGTTGGTAGCGGGCTCTGCTGCGGTTTAAAGCAGCTTGGCGGCGTTGCTCCTGGGATGTGCGGGAAACACGTGGCATTTTTTGCGTGCTGTTGGAAAAAAATCAAATTAAATTATTTTCACAATTATGGAATTCACAGTTATGGCAAAAATGGAAATAGGAAATTTACAAAGGATTAAATTCCTTCTTCATAAATCTCATATCAAGGGATGCTTTTAGGGGAATAGACTTACCAAAATATATGTTTTAAGAATTATTTCTTTTATTTTAAACACACACTTTTTGTCACTGGTAAAAAATAAAACTTTCACTCTTTAAATTTAACACTGGCAAAAAAATACTTTTCACGCACTTTAAATTAACTGAATTTCAACTGGCAGAGTAACGTCGTCACTCGATAAAATTTTTTTTAGACTGATCTACGGATTAGTGATTTTTTCAATATATAGGCAAGTTAGGTAATATTAAAAAAAAACGTATAATCCCTTAACCCTTTAAGGTTATACAGTTTTACCCTTTTCGTCATGGCAATAAAATGTCAGGATCTTTTTATATACCTGCTTTACCTGTTGTGTTATGAATTTAGGTGTTACGAATATTTACAACCTAAATTTGAGGGATAATATTATTCCGATTCAACCAATCAGGAAAAAGGTAATACCTGATATTTTAAAGTTCCTCAGTACCCATATAAATTGCATTGATATCTGTACTACCTGTTACGCAATAGAAAACCCTTGCACGTGTTCATTCAACGAAGGAGGATTTCCATTGAACCAATTGGCGGCATTACCTGGATTAGGTCATCATGGGATAATCCCATGGTTTCCTCGTAATAAAAATTCGGGTGTTATTTAAAAAGTAAAGGGTTGTAAACTTAACAATGAAAATGAACACAATTTTATGATCTTTAATAACCTACTACCAGGAAACCCAGTATAACAAATGAATATGTTAAATCCCTTACATAGTATTCTTAAAAATGATAAAAAGCCAAACTATACCCAATTTAAAGTGTACTAGGTATACTAAATAGTTTTAGTGTTTTATTTTTTCCACAATTTACTGCAAGGGTATATCAACTTCGGCTCCGCCCGAAGTTAGCTTTCCTTTCTTGTTATTTCTAACATTTTCCCTTTACTATATTTTTAAATTGTGCATATATTGAGTTGTAATGTGTCTCGTCGTCCAGGGATCCCATCCAGTTGGTATCAAGTCGATTTGTATGAATATTCTTTGGGTTCTTTATTATTGATCTTTATTTTTTGGAGCAGCCATTATTGCCACTCCAAGCTCCCAAAAGGCTCTAATCCTTTACAATATTTCTAGGAGTTGGGAAGTCTAGGTCTCGTAGCTGCGCTGCCAACAGCGGCAGATGGTTATATTTTTTCGTTATTATTTATATTTATTCTTTCAGAATTTGAAAATGGCTTGTGCATTAATAAGAGCATCAGCTAGCATTCCTGTATTCATCATAAAGCTTAGAGGCCCAGACGACCGAGGGGCGCTCGAGAAACGATTTGTTAGTACGTATTAAGCTATTTGTAATTTGTTCAGCTAGGAGGAGTTAGTAAGAAAATGTAAAATTCTATATTTTAAATTAGAGGGACAGGAAAGAGATGTTTTTGAGTAAAGACTAATGTAGTTCGAACATAATACCCTAAAAGGGTCATGCAGTGTAGCATATGTAGAACGAAAATGGCTAAGGAATAGAGGACTAAAGTTTCGAGTCCTTCTATTAGGAATGTTCAATTTTAAGCGTGTTAGTAAATGCTGGCTATCTACATCCCCGTTAATAAGGTTATGCAGAAAAACTACACCGAGCATTGTCCTACGATTTGTTAAGCTAGGTAAGTTGATAAGTAAAAGTCTGCTACTGTAGGATGGAAGCTGAAGATTTACATCCCAGTATAGACCTCTAAGAGCGAATATTAAAAAATTCTTTTGTACTCTTTTCTTACAAAATTCAATGCGGTCCTTATGTACTCCATATTGGGGACTCCAGACACATGAACCGTACTCCAATATAGGACGGACCAAAGAAATAAATAGTGTTTTGGTTATATAGGGGTCATTAAATTCTTTTGACCACCTTTTGATAAAACCAAGGACTCCTTTAGCCTTATTAACCATTAAGGAAATATGGTCGGCAAATTTAAGTTTGATGTCTAATAGGATGCCGAGATCATTAACCTGGGTTAATTTTTCTAAGGCAATCCCATTAATAGAATAAGTAGCTTGCAGAGGGCAAGAACGATAAAAAGACATATGTTTGCATTTAGATCCATTAAGTATTAGATCATTAGCTTAACACCATTTTTGAAAGTTATCAAAGTCAGACTGAAGACTGCATTGGGCAGAGATGGATTTGTACTGAAGACAAAGCTTTACATCATCTGCATTCATAAGAACTAGAGAGTTCGTTAAAGCAAGGGGCGAGTCATTAATAAAAAGCGTGAATAATAGCGGGCCAAGACGACTTCCTTGAGGGACGCCAGATGTAGCACGGACCAGACGGGACTGTATGTTTTTAAATAAGACTCTTTGTGTCCTTCCATCTAGGTAGCTGGAGATCCACGTTAAGAGGTCTTTAAGAAAACCCAGCATATTCAGTTTACTCAACAAGAGTGAGTGATTAACTGAATCAAATGCTTTGCTGAAGTCTGTGTAAATTACATCGGTTTGATATCCCTTACAAAAGCCATCTATGACAAAGGATGTCAACTCCAATAAGTTTGTGGTGGTGGAGCGACGCTTAGTAAAGCCATGCTGACAAGGAGTGATGATCGAAGAGCAAAGGTGTTGCAAATGAGGGGTAATTAATTTTTCAAATAACTTTGGAATTGCCGACAACTTAGAGATGCCTCTGTAGTTGGCAGCCTCGGACTTTTTCCCCTTTTTATGTAGGGGAATTATAAATGATTCCTTCCACTTAAGAGGAAAAATCGAGGTTTCCAAAGATAAGTTGAAAAGTCTTAGAAGAGGTTTGCACAGAGCCCTGGCGCAGTATTTTAGCACACAGCCTGGTACTCCGTCGGGGCCTGGCGAATAAATGCGTTTTACCCTTAAAAGACCAGATAATAAGTTGTTCTCAGAAAAAGACGAACAGAAAATAAGATTTGCTGCTTGAATGTTATATGCGTAAGGCTGATCAGTCAATTTAGGAGGAGAATAATTTGTTTGAAAAAATTCTGCGAATAGATCGGCAATGGCGTGATCCGAAGTCGCAGAGGAATTTTCAAACGTAAGCAGAGGTGAAAAAGATACGTGTTTACGCTTAGTGTTTACAAAATTATAAAACTGCTTTGGATCCTGAGTAAATTGAATCCGGCAGCGGTCAATATAATTCTGTCAATATAATATATAACATTCTGCGTTATGCACGGTAAAGTTCGTCCGAGCTAGTAGGTATCTTGAGAAATCAACACTACTGCAGGTTTTTTTATATTTGACTAAAAGCTTATTTTGTTTATTTTTTAAGTTAGTAAGGCACCTTGTAAACCAAGGAGGATTTGTTGAAGCGGACGGATATTTCCAAGGCACACATGAGTCAAAAAATGTATTTAAAGTAAAATAAAATTTTTCTAAAGTGACATTAAGATCAGTGCACGCCAGAATATCAGACCAGTCAAATGTATCGATAAGGCTATTAAGTTTCTGAAAATCAGCTTTACGGAAACAGCGAATCTTATTTACCACGCTCGGAGACATCTGATCGATACCAGGAGTGGTTTCGATTGAGACCTCCAGTGTGGGGTGATATGGATCCTCTGGGGATGAAAGGGGAAAAGCTCTGGAGAGAGAAGTACCATCAGGATCAGATACAAAACATAAGTCTAAGAGCCGACCTAGCGAATTTCTAACATGATTGATCTGACCTAGGGACATGTCAAACATGCCCGCGGTGAAGTCATGGTAAGTTATAAGAGACAAAGATGGTGAGTTATCGACGTTGGACCACTTTAATTCTGGGATATTAAAGTCGCCCACCGCTATGAGTTGGTCACGATCCGTCATAAGTTTAAAGACGTGTCGAATAGCGGACAAATGCTGCCAATATGTAGGTGGTTCAGACATAGACGGTATATATGAACATGTAATGTATAAAGCTTTAACGGACATAGTGATTTTAACGCAAATAAATTCTATGTCACCAAACTCATGGGATTTCACCTCTTCAGAAGCAAGAGTAGAGTCTACCGAAATGAGGACTCCACCTCCTCTTCGCTGAGATCGATCCGGTCTAAAAGTGGTGTACTTACTTGGAAAAACTTCGGAGCTAAAGATCTCCGGATTTAACCAAGTTTCTGTAAATGCTATTATATGGGATGCAAAGAAAGAACTATCAGAATATAGCTTGGGGAGTTTGCTACGTAGCCCCCTAGTATTCTGATAGGTAAGAGTTAGTGGGGAAACTAGTTTTTTGGGTTAGTGGCCAAAGAAGAGGTGGAGGGTTGGTCAGTGGTTCCGATATTGGGGAGTCTCACTCCCACTGGTTTATTAACTTTTTTTTTCACGGAACTAGGCTGATGTTCTTGGACGAAAAGATTCTCTGGCCAAAAACTGGGAGAACAAATCGTCTTGAACATCATCGCGGGCACACGAATCTTGAAAGAAGACGTGCGCCTTGTATAATTATATTTAAATTTTTGTATGTCCTCCACCTTTATATCGGCTTTAGTTTTGGCTTTGATATAAGCCGAGATATCAATCTCTGAAGTATTAGGGGCAAGCCGAGAAACAAATATATGTTTCGATGGAGGAATCACCTGTAAGGGTTTTGGTGTCGCATGTACGAGAACTCCAGCATCAGTCGGTGCCGGTGGTCCGGACTGTGGAATACCCTTTTGGGATGCCATGGCGGACATATCGGACAATTGCTCATTATCCCTGAGAAATGCTGACGAATTTTTCTCAGTTCTAGCCCTTGGGGTGGCCAGAGATATAAGCGGCTGCATTAATGTCGGCTGAGCAGGCTGAGGCGGATCAGAAACAGCGGATTTCTTACGCTTAGGGGACTCATTTAGCAGCTGAAGGCCACTAAACTGAGTGTCCAGCGCACAGAGCTGTTCATTGATTTTACGAAAACCAGTGATCAGCTCTTTAAATCCATTTTTGGTCTGTCTCATGAACGACCTCATTTTGCCTTGCACAGCACGACAATTTTCACAACAATAATGTATCCCAGACCTACGGGAAATGGCATCCGAAACTGATGCAGTGAAACCGGCACACTTGGCGTGCACGACGTTTTCACATAACCAGCAATGGATGCTAGGCTGGGATGTGGAAATTGTCTTGTTACAAGACTTAATGGCACAGACCAGTTTAAATTCCATTTTATTTATTTTTATTTTTTTTTTTTATTTAATAAAACAAAAATTAATATTTAAAAAGTTAAAAAACACAATACCTTGAACCACTGTGCCAAACAAGAAGCCGAAGCGAGAGCTTTGAAATAGTGCAAAAGAGAAATGCAGAAATAGAGATAAGCCGGGGAAGAAGAAGAGCTGAGCTATGCTTGGAATAGAATTTAGACAAATTATTAATTCGACTCCAAGTATACCACAGCACTCGCGAAGCGATACGGTTTAGGCTTTAAGATTGTTAAGATTCACAAGATTTAATTCACAAAGTATGTAAACACCGGTTTACCAATATTTGTCATAAACGCAGTGCGCACAAAAAAAACACGACCGTTCGCTTGAAAGAAAGAGAGGGAAGTTATGATTAAAATTATTTCCCATTTTAGTGGTATTATTATTTTGTCGTATTTGATCAAGTCGTAAGTTGTTTCCCCGATATTTACTTTCATTTTAAAATCCATTAAACCTATTTGCGAATTGAGCACGGAGCAGTTGTTTGATTCTAATTCTTGGACCTTTGCCAAAGCATTGGGTAAATCTGGTGGACTTAATGAGAAAAAAGTTTCTGAAATAGATCCAGAATAGGTCCGGATATAAATACTCGTAGAGCAATTCTCCTTATTGAATTGTTTGTTTCTTTGGTAATTACACTGTCCTTTCCGTATGTCATTATGGTTTTATTTATTGACTTCATTATAGTACTCAGTAATTGTTATTCGTCCTTGCCTGAGGATACTTAGTTCTGACTCGAGAACATGTATTGGTCGTTTGTCACTATATATAAAGTCCAATCGGGATAAGATTGCTTTAAAGTTTAAAACTGTACCATGATTGGTAAGAGCATCATGGGCAGCTCCCATAATTTTATTTCGTAAAATTGTTAGGGCGATAAAATATTGTTTACTTTCAATTTTATAGAGACTCATTGCAGTTTCTGCAGCTTCCCTCCAACCTACATATTGTGTTGGTTCCCCTGTGAAATTTGGTAAGGATTTTACCACTTCAAGTGTTGTATCGCATTTTATAGCTGGGTCAATTGTTTGTACTTTATAATCTTCCACAGTTTTTGCATCTGTGGCTAGCCTTCCTTCTAAACATTCTACTTTCCTGCTAACTTCATTCAATTGAGCGTTTATTAATCTTTTTATCAATTCTACTGTTAAACTGCCGGCTGTGGCTACACTGCCTGCAGAAAAACTTGGTGCTGAACCTCCGGTTGCCATTGTTAGATTTAATTCACAAAAGCTATATATCAAATCTTCCAGATTTTTTCTTTATATTGTTTGTTAAATCGCGAATCTTACTTTTTGCAATATATAAATCTTATATTATTTTTCTCAAATTCACTGATCTTAAATTATAATATATTATTATTTTAAATTAATTCCTCACGATATTGTCCCGTTGGGGTCTTCTTTCTGTGTGGTTGGTGGTTGATCGTCCTTCCTGGATACAGTTGATTAATGGATGGAGAATGTCCTGTCTTCCTTCCTTGGTTTTTCTTGTTGGAGCGAGTTGTCGTTTTTATTTGAGAATGTCCTGCCTTCCTTCCTTGGTTTTTCTTGTTAGAGTTGTCGTTTTATTTGTTTTTGTTGTTTTTGTTTTTATTTTTTTGTGCGTTGATTTTTTAGTTTTGTGTTCTTGTAATTGTTTGGTTTAAAATTTCGGTCCACCTTTGTTTTAATTTACTGTTTATGGATTTTTTCATTAATTAATTTCCATTTACTTTGTTGTTAACGATCACTGTCACTTGGTAGTGTCGTTTGGTGGATGTTTTAATTTTTCCACTCAAAATGTTGAGTTGTTGACCGCGCGAGTTCCGTTTATGTTTAACTTATTTTTCATTAAACAATTTTTTTGGAGCATTATGTGACGCGGCCCCATGTTGGGCGCCAGTTAAATTTTTTGTAGTTCGGTGAATTAAAAATATGTAAATTTTATTTATTAATTATACAACTTGGTGGTAAGCCTTTATTTATTAAACTTAATTATTACAAGACATACATTACTATACAATACAATTATTACTTTTTATTTTTAATTATTTTCCGTCAACCGTTCGCGGTCTCGGTCAAAATAGGACTGACTTCTTAATTCTAAATCTGATCTAAAGAACCTCGGCCATCAGTTGTGTTTAGATTAGAGACTTAAGATGAAAATGTCGCATCTTATTGTGAAATTCGATTAAGCTGATCGATGCAATTTGGTGGGTACTTGAAACGCAAAAGGCGTAATTGATTGGGCTTCGGAGGGAAGCTGATGTTTACTTTTGATTTTGATTTGTTTATGGGGAACCGAGATCGGACCTCAGAGCCAAAAACAAAACCGAAAGCAAATGCAGAGTTTGAAAATATTGTTTTTAAAATTCATAAGTGGAAAGCCATAAGTGGCCTGGATTTATGAGTTGGATAATTGAGCCAAAGACAAAGCCAAAGGCAAATGCAGAGATTGAAAATATTGTTTATAAAAGCCATAAGTGGCTTGTATTTACGTGTTGGATAACTTACATGCATACGCGTATTTGACGTAAGAAATCAGACGATTGTCAATTTACTCCCTCCTGCAGGGGATCATAATCATTTCTTCTGCGTTATCATTTCTTTCGAGTCTTCGGATTGGTTTTCCCGATTCGTTGACAGGAAAATTACATTCAACAGAGATACCTGTTTTCCATTTTCGAGGATCAATAGGTTTTGAGGTTATTGGAAATATAATTGGCAGCACTACCCGATATATATCGCGAGCATTGTTATTTTATAAGTATCTCCTCTAAGGCCTCTCTTCTGTTCTGTTAATGTGAATGAGTTTATACCTCAGTATAACTCATAATCATTCGCGTACAACTGATTTCAAAAATGGAGTGGATGAAAATGAACAGCCTAAAATCCATGGAACCAGGAATCAAGGAGCTACAGTAAAAAATGGTTTATTCAACGGCTTATTATCTGTAAAACGGAAGGCTGGAGGGCCACAGAAAACTAGACACCAAGATGGAAATTGGTCCGTTATTGTCCGTCCCTCCTGTTCCTGTTTCTCACCCGTGATGTACCTGAAAAGATAAGAAAAAGGAAAAACCAAAAATTAAACGAATTCCTATCAGCGTGTATCGAACTGACATCAACAATTTTGCCACTATTTTCCTCCTTTTCTGGATCCTTGTTGTCCTACGAAGCCTTTTCTGTGATAATTTGTGACTTTTCCCGACGATTTCCTCCCGGATGATTTTTGACAACGGCGATGACCTGCAATGAGAAATAATCTGTGATATTTTACGACAAGGATTATCTCTGATTTTGTGATGTTTATTTTCCTTCGTTGGATGACTTTAACCCCTCTGGACATTGGATGTTTTTTATTTTGACGACGGCCTCCTGAAATATTAATTGGAATTTGTGGAATTTAATAATAAGACAATGGATACTCACCCTAAGCTACTTTTGACTGGATTCCCTTTTCTTTTTGATGTCACTTTCTGCGTTTTTAGATCCGTCTTCGTCCGTCCTCATGTCCGCTCATCCGTCCATGTTCCTAATTTCGTCCTTCATGTTTTCCGGATTTTTTGGCTTGCATCCTTCCCTGGGGTCCTTTGAGATGGCGCCGCACCAATTTTCCCGGTTCTCCGGGAAAGTTGCCCCTCGCGGCAATACTCCGGTAATTCTCTCCCCTCTTGGATCATACAGAATTTGCACCCGACGGCGGCGGTCGTTGCTAAAAAATTTTTCAAGCTTGCAATATTGAAAACTGTTAATGTAAAGCTGTATATTTTAAAAACAAATTCAATAAGTTAAAGACGACGAAAATAAAACAACAAAAATAAAAACGAAGAAAAACCAAGAATTAAACTCTTGTGGCGGTGATTAAATATTACATCAATTTCTGCGCAACACGACAGAAAGAGCGACATAAATACTAAAGAAAGAGACATACGAAGAAACGCAAGGAGAAGAAAGGAGAGAAATTTATAATAGATGACAGCTATAGATCGGACGAGGAAATTCGTTTTGAAATTTCATCCTCAATTTCATGGATATTACCAGACAATTCCTCACCCCAACGCGATGAGTACGCATCCAAAATGGATGGTTCCTTTCTTGTTTATATTTTTTCTCGTCCTCCCTAGGTTGTGGATACTACATTTTCCAATAAACTCCCTAATAATTCCCCTAATATTATTTTGGGGAAACGTTTGGAGAGGACCGATGCCAACCAACACCAGCCCAAAGAAATGTGAATACTTGCGCTAGCGGAAACACAGTTACAGCAGCACATTCTATTGGCTGTTCTAACTGTCTTTTCCACACACACATATCTCCTCAGCTCCGACAATTCTTTTCGGCGCGGAAAAAAGCGTTCTCCTGGAGGAGCTTTCTGAGAAGCCATATAAATATAAATCTAACAAAATTATTTGCAGCCTTGATAAGTAGAGTTAAATAGATTTAATATTTGAATGTATCTTTCTTATAAGAGAATTTTACAAAATAAAATCAGTTTCTAATCGGAATTCATTGGAGTAAGACCTTTATTTGGGGCTCCTCTTAACACCTACTGTCATGCTACTAATAGCAATTCGGCTCAGGGCGCCACCTGTTGTCTTGATAAAAGAGCCCATGTAGATAACAAAACCAAAGCCAATGATGAGTCGGGAGCCACGGGAGTCTTTATTGGGACTAAAGATAAGATCCAGTCGGTGCAGCTCCTTTTCTCGGAGTTGACCCAATTTGCCTCCGCCAACCCCGCCTAGCCACATACTCGCCCCTCTTCCAGTGAGGTCAGCTTGCCTGATCCTGGCTCTCTGGTGGTGGGCGCCAATGCGGTTGTGCACACTACTCCAAACACCATCAAGGAAAGGCTTGGGAATGCCAATTACTGGGGCATCCTGGATCTGGATATCTCTCCCGTTTTAGGGCCAAGCTTGTGGGCCACACATAAAAAGCACCAAATCAGAATTTGAAGGAAACGGAAATTAAAAATCAAGACCTTTGGCTGGGTTTGTTAAAAAAATTTTCGGACGGACCGGAAGAGGACAAGAGAAGGACATATGACAGACTTAAAAATATTGAAGAAAAACTTGACAGAATTTGTTTAATATTTCACAAAATTAATAATCTACTTGACGTGACGGATTTTGTCTTGTAACATTTACAACGTCACTTATATACACAACTCTATTGAAATGGCTTCCGCAAGCAGCGATTCCCTTCAAGAATTGCTGAAAGACAATGAGCTCTTCTACGTTTAAGTCCTGTCTATACATGTCCTGTCCTCCCCTGATTGTTTTTCTGTCCTGTTTACATTTCAGATGCCACCCTGTTCCTGAAAAATAAAAGAATAATCCAATTAAACATTGCCCTTATCAGCATAATTTATTGGAACTTTCTTTGAATGTTTGTGCTGTCCTGAACATCCTAATGTCGACTGTTCAAGCATTGAACACGATTGTAGGCATAAATTCCAAAAATAGAGTTTCAAGAGATCGGTACCATGGAAATATGAGATAAACAGCATGGTCTAAAACCGATCCCCTGCAGCCTAGCATAAATAACACAAAAATATGTAGTGCGCTTATCGCACTTGAGAAAGGGTCGCATAGCAGGTCAGCGTGCAGTGCGTTGATAAGTAGTTTTAAATAGTTTTAAGATTTTCATGTATCTTATTTATAAGAGAATTGTACAGAATAAAATCAGTTTCTAAACGGAATTCATTGGAGTGCGACCTTATTATTTGGGGCTCCTCTTAACATTTGGTCCATCGAGACACCCTGACATTAGTAGGGAGTAAATAGGCAATCGGCTGATTTCTTGCGTCATATCCGTGTATGCATGTATATGTTGGTGGGAACGTAAATCCACAATCCAATATACACTCACATATATATATACTCCTAAATAAAAATTACATATTGACCTTTCATCCGACCCTGACATAAATATGTCTCCTGCAAGAAAGTGATAAAAAGGGATCGCAGCAGGTCAATTGTTTCGTTTTTTTTTTATGTTGACCCTTCAGGGTGGATTTTCACTTTTCTGCGAAAAGGTTTTCTTGTGATATACTTACTCCTTGTAAAATTCTGTATTATATTTTGTATTATAAAATTAAATATCTTTATATAAATCCGAATTAATTTAAAATTAATTTAAAAAGAATTGGAGTTAAAAATCCTTTTAAATGATATGCAACACCATAATAAAGTAGTATGTAATTAGGCAAACGATGATCCTGGCAAGTTTCATTTTTACATGGTCTTTTCTTTACATGCATATTTCCCTTAATGGGAACCAATGCAAGATATCAGAAAATATAGAAAACATAGACTGCGATGATCCTGACATGATCGTTTGCTTTTATGCCAATAGAGGGCGTAACGTATAAAATATTACGGTAGATGGCGATGCCCAATTTTATACAAACTTGACCCATAGATGGCGCCACTAAACTTACGTCGTACGCCGTTTGCCTAACTACATACTACTAAAATTTTTCTGCCGCTTATACGCCGTTTGCCTAATTCCCTACAAATTCAACTCCTCACATGCGGCACCTGTGGAAAGTTCACCACTTGACACACCTGTAGAAAATTCAGGATCGCTACCTGGATAATATTCAGGATCGTGAAAAAATGTAAGCCTAATTCCCTACAAATTCAACTGCCCACTTAAGATACCTGCCTAAGATTCAGGATTGTGAAAAAATAAGTTCATTTAAAAGTATATTTTACTACAATTCTTTTGTAATTAATTTAAAATTAATGATGAAGAACAAATGATTATTTAAAAAAAAATTACAAAAATTTTATTATGGTGTTGCATATCCTTTAAAAGGATTTTTAACTCCAATTCTTTTTAAATTAATTTTAAATTAACTCGGATTTATATAAAGATATTTAATTTTATAATACGAAATATAATACAGAATTTTACAAGGAGTAAGTATATCACAAGAAAACCTTTTCGCAGAAAAGTGAAAATCCACCCTGAAGGGTCAACATAAAAAGAAACGAAACAATTGACCTGCTGCGATCCCTTTTTATCACTTTCTTGCAGGAGACATATTTATGTCAGGGTCGGATGAAAGGTCAATATGTAATTTTTATTTAGGAGTATATATATATATATATATGTGAGTGTATATTGGATTGTGGATTAACGTTCCCACCAACATATACATGCATACACGGATATGACGCAAGAAATCAGCCGATTGCCTATTTACTCCCTACTGTAGGCTCTAGGCTCTAAGCGTTATCTTTTCTTTCGAGTCTTCTGATTGGTTTTCCCGATTCATTAACCGGAAAAATGTGTGGAAAAATGGGGTGGTTTTCATGCGTTAACTCATGAACATGTATTGATGATACCAATACATTTAAACACAAGTACTTACCTGTTTTCCGTTTTCGAGTATCAATAGGTTTTGAGGTTTATGCTAAGAATCAAATTTTTAGTATAAATCTTGCCTTGCCGGTTAAAGCAATTTTTACGCTTTTTCTTTTTTACAAAAAATTAAAAACAAAAATATGAGCGAGTTAGAAATTATATTCGAGGACACCCAACCAGCTCTTAGTGACATTTGTGTATCGAACGGTGCACTTTTATCATTAATTGGTATTGGGGAGAAAACCCAAGAAGAGCTTTTTAAGAATCTAGAGGATGATTCTCTGTCATCCATATACGATTTATTGACACCAACATGGGATTATTCGAGGATAAAACGTATGCCCCGGACTCTCAAAAAAATATATTCGAGGAATTCGACGACGACGACATACCAGTTTCTCCGTGCTTCATTCCGGAGACCCCCGAGGGAGAGAAAAAATCATCAACAGAATTTTCTTTCCCGGACGATGACCACATATTTTTTGAAATAAATGACGGAAATGATATTTACATAAGTTACATATTACATATACATAAGTAGTTACATAGTTTATTTACATAAATAAAAGACTATATTACCATATTTCATTATTATATAATTATTTTTATTTCATGAAAAATGTATTCAAAAAACAAAAAAAATTACTTTTGGATTTATTTTTATCAAGGTGTAGTTCAAATTTATTCGAAATTGAATGAAAAACAATATTTGAAATTTAAAAGAAATATTTTGAAGTTCGTGTTAAGTTAATTATTTTCATTAATATCGTTGGATGATCCATTAAGAAATGGGTGTATAATTCACTTCGTAGACAGTACTTTTTTACTTCAGGACATAAGTTGCAGTTATACTATAAGGATCGGGCTTTTGTATGCTTGAATTTGTGTTTTTTTTGTATTGTCACGTTTTAATCCATACCGATATTTAAAGGAAGGACTTTCTATACAGAGTTCACAAACGAAAGTTTTCATTTTGAAAATTTGAAAATTAACTGATCAAAATCAAACCTAGAACTTCTTTTATATATTTTTAAGAGTGAATCTATGCTATTGTTTATAATTTACATACATATTTTAAAATGAAATAACCATACAGCCATCTCTTTCATTCCTAATAAAATTAGCAAATTCATAGCTATAAAGTCCTTATATACCCAAATACATTTATAACAAGAAAGGAAAGCTAACTTCGGGCGGAGCCGAAGTTTATATACCCTTGCAGTTAAAACCGGATATATATCGCAAACATCGGATATAGTTGGCCGATCCTTATGGGAATAGGAATATATAATCCAATTTATTACAATACAAAATCTAAAAAAAGTCCCAAACTTCTATCTTCAAAAATACGAAAGTTGATATTTCTACCGAATACCATTTCCGATCGTTCAGTTATATGGCAGCTATGGGATATAGTCGGCCGATCCTAATGAAATTTGGTAGGTTGGATCAACTGACCAAGAATTAAATCTGTACTAAGTTCCAGCTTTCTATCTTCAAAAACACGAAAGTTGGGTCATTTCCGATCGTTCAGTTATATGGCAGCTATAGGATATAGTCGGCCGATCCTTATGAAATTTGGCATGACGTAATGTTTTGCCAAATATAGCTCACATGTCAAATTTGAACTCTCTAACTCTAAAAACACCAAAGTTATACCATTTCCGATCAATCAGTTATATGGCAGCTATAGGATATAGTCGGCCGATCCGGGCCGTTCCGACTTATATACTGCGTGCAAAGGAAAGAAGGGTGTGTGCAAAGTTTCAAGACGATAGCTTTAAAACTGAGAGACTAGTTCGCGTAGAAACAGACAGACGGACAGACAGACGGACAGACAGACGGACAGACGGACATGCTCATATCAACTCAGGAGGTGATACTGATCAAGAATATATATACTTTATAGGGTCGGAGATGTCTCCTTCACTGCGTTGCACACTTTTGACCAAAATTATAATACCCTCTGCAAGGGTATAAAAAGGTCATGAGGTCATAAAAAGGTACATAGATATATATGTATGTTTATATATACACAAAGGCGAGTGAATTATTAAAAAGTATAAAAGAGCGGGATCACTGATTAAGTTGATTAGTACCTAACAGTAACCTTTTTGGAACGAAACCAGGAATACAAGAGTTATATATGATGGTATGTATACAAATTCTTACAACCAATAAAAAAACAAGAAAGCAAAGCTAACTTCGGGCGGAGCCGAAGTTGATATACCCTTGCAGTTAAAACCGGATATATATCGCAAACATCGGATATAGTTGGCCGATCCTTATGGGAATAGGAATATATAATCCAATTTATTACAATACAAAATCTAAAAAAAGTCCCAAACTTCTATCTTCAAAAATACGAAAGTTGATA